TGAGTCGACTTGTGTTGAGACGACCTTGTGTTTGGAGGTGCTCTACAAAACTGTCTCTCATATGCTTGGGCAGCTTACTAAGCAGTCTGTCGACATGGCCAGTTGACATCAGTTCTGTCCCATTGGGCCCTTCTAGTGAAGTGAGCATTCCTACTAGCAAGTCAACACTGAGGGCGAAACTCTGGAAGCCTTTTGTGTCTCCCGATCTAACTTCAGGGGCATTTAAGATTGCAGCAATCTCACTTTGTGCGAGCTGATGTGGTTGTCCATACTGGCGCTGTAATGCTTCCATTGCAGCCAAGTAGGGTTGGGTATAATGTCTGCAGGACTGAGCAATTAGCTTGGCTTCATCCAGGACTAAGTGCTCCATGAGTACCCGGTACTTGTAGTGCTCTGACAGCTCTGTGTGGGGGCCAAGCAGGTGGTCTAGCGCCATCTTGAGGTCAGTGAATTCTCTCTCACTGTCATGCACCAGCTTGGGCAGTTCAGGTACAGGAACAGGCTGCTTCGGCATCTGGAAACTGTATGGAGACTGCAGCATGGCGTACTGCGGCAAGGAAGTATTGTATACCTGATTAGAATGACCTGGCATTATGGGCACTGGCTGGTAGACAGGCTGCACTGCGGACGGAGGCTGAGGCTGGAGAACAGGTTGTATAGGCAGACCTGGCTGATAGCTCTGTGACTGGATCATGGGCTGCGCCGTAATGGCTGATGGAAGCTGGTACACAGTGTGTGCAGTAATAGCTGGTGGAGGCTGGTACGCAGGGTGTGGAACTGCAGCAGGAGTGTATGACAACTGGCCGTAATGTGCAACGTTACTTGACAGAGTGGTGGGTTGAAGCACAGGGAGCAGTGCTGGTGAAGCCAGGGGCTGGCATGCTGGATAGGTTGGAGTTGCAGAACAGGGCTGGTATTGGACTGGCATATGTGTAGAGGGCTACTATGCTGGACACTTGCAGCCGTAGTCACAGGATGCATTATTTGATAGGCTGGTTGGTATGGCGTAGATGCTGTTGGCTGTAACATGTTTGTTATTGTGGGGAGTGGTTGCTTGGGGACTGGTGCAAACTCTGATGCAGAGGTTAATGTCACTGGAAGGGATCGGGTTAGAATGTCACTTTGGCCATGGCTCTGGCTTGAGGTAGTGGATGTTATAACTTGGGACAGTAATACTGTACTTGCGGCACTGGCAGTAAATGCAGCTGCTTGTGTGTTTCGCCAAGTTGTAACATCTGGCAGGAAGCTTGGGCTAACTGATCGCTGTGATGCGGGAGAACATGGCTCACCACACCATTGGTAAGCTAGGATATGTAGTAGCTGGTGGTGTTGCGTTCCACTGGCTCACCTTATCGACTACTGCTGCGGGGGGATGACAGGGTGGGTGTCCGAGTGCTTGAAGTAGCTGGCCATCATGAGAAACAGACCCGGTCTGCAAGCTGAGTGACTGCAGCTGCTGTGCACTGGCACCTAAGTCTCCATCCGGATGAGCAGCAGTATAAGGCATGAGGGACTGAGGGAGGCTGACCTGGTAGCCCTGGAGATAAGCTGGTAGCTGCCGTGGCCGTCCTGTCGCTTCACTTGCGATAGTTGATGTTCTCGTTATGTCCATTTTGCTGATATGGGTGAAGCAATCCGGCTCGAAGGACCAGTGTTGGTGAGAGCTATGACTGTATGTTGCTCTAGGGGGATTCGCTGGAACACCTCATCCACACAGACACTCCGATTAGAGAGCGAGGCCGGACACAGTAGGACTGTTAACTCTGCTTTACTGATGAAGCACAACTCCAAATGAAATACAGCTCTGTGTTCCTGGTTTGCTGTTTACAGTTTGATTCATTAGAATTTATCTCTATTATCTGTTCTGTCTGAGACTTCACATTGGACTGATTGACTCTCTTTCTGTACTGGTATCTGCAATAAACAAAACATAATATACATGAGAATACTAGTTTAAAGAGCACGTTAGCTCGAACTTAGCTTTAGCTTATTACCAAATCAGCCAGCACGTTAAACATCACATAAACACTGCTACGTTAGTAACGTTATGTTACATTAGCGGCGAAAATCACCGTTTCATTTGCATATCAACGGAACTAATTAGCAATCATTAGCAGATCGTTGCCACCCACCTTCATCACAAACGCAGACAGGTATTGACGTAAAATAAACAAGAATGCCGTGAACGGCTGAATATTATAAGGACCCCCTTAGCTGCCTAACGAGGTTCCTGATGCAAAACACTAAATTCAGCACTGAACAAATCCTGCACCACAAACAGTAATAATAGGGAATTTACAACAGCACCCTTTTTTAATATTGAAACAACGTTGAAATCATAGCTAACTAAAATCAATGTGACTTTTTCAATGTTATTTCAACCAATATTACTATTGAAAAAAACGTTGAAATGATAGCTAACTAACAATCAACGTGACTTCAATAGTATTTCAACCAATCTTACTACTGAAACAACATTGAAATAAAAACCTAACTAAAAATCTAAGTGACTTCAATGTTCTTTCAATCAATTTTACTATTGAAACAACGTTGAAATGATAGCCTATCTAACAATCAACGTGACTTCAATAGTATTTCAACCAATACAACTATTGAAACGTTGAAACAACATTCTGCTGTCAACGCTAATTTCATGTTGATTCATCATCATTTTGCACCCTTTTTTAATATTGAAACAACGTTGAAATCATAGCTAACTAAAAATCAACGTGACTTCAATGTTATTTCAACCAATATTAAACCACAGAAAAGAGACTATAATATATAAAAAATGTATAAATGACAACGGACAATTTAATCAGTTAAAAAATACAAGTTTATTTATGGAATAAAAAAAATTCACTACTCCTGTTCTGCTCTGTCCACCCATCGGGTGGGGAGCATAGGAAGCCATTTTTGTGCTGCCTGGGCAAAGTCAAAGACTTCTGTCCCCATTGGTTCAATCAGGGCATCTATAACAGAAAACATACAAATAAAACAACTTTCAGTAGTGAAAAGGATGTGAAGATGAACAATGTCAGTCGGGCTGAATTGACGCTATATTATAAATATAACAGTTAACTTACTTGAATTCACTAATGTTACCAATTTGCCAGTTTATTGTAGATGTAGACTGCCTGGCTGTGGTGGAATCCATTGACATTTATAGTTTAACGTTATTTAAATTGTCAAACATTAAATGCAGTCATAGATTGAATCTGGAGGCTGAAAGTTGTAGAAGACTGACAGATGTATCAAGTTAGCTGGCTTATTTAAAGTGAAATCGCAGGGGCATTAGCTAAGATCAGTTACGAGCATGAGAAAGGTGTGCATATATTTCGCAAAGCAGTCGAAATCTGAGCAAAGATAAAATACAGTCCTGTACAGGATATTATCTTCTGGTGATAAAGTTAGCATTTATACTAGCGAAGTAACTTATCCTAATACGATGGAGCTTGGAAAATGGTATTGAAACACTGTATATAGTCTATGACTGCATATAATTTTAGACAATGTCAATAAACGATAAATGTCTACAAATTTGGTACAATTAAACATTAGATAAATAAATATGTGCTTACCTGATGTGGACTTGTGAGATGTGTGGGGTTCAGGAACGTTGATCTACCAAGCGATGGTCTCCCGGTCAATAATACTGCATTGACTTTTCAATCATACAGTATTTCCCGGTCAACTATAAATCCATGGCTTTTCAATATCACGTCATTTCCCGGTCAACTACAAATAGATGATATTTCAATCATGTTTTCCGGTCAACTATAATTCAATGACTTTTCAATCCTATTTCCCGGTCAACTATAATTCAATGACTTTTCAGTCATGTTTCCCGGTCAACTATAAATCCATGGCTTTTCAATATCGCATAATTTCCCGGTCAACTATAAATAGATGATTTTTTGAATCATATTTCCTGGTCAACTATAATTCAATTACTTTCCAATCATGTTTCCCGGTCAACTATAATTCAATTACCTTTCAATCATGTTTCCCGGTAAACTATAATTCAATGACTTTCCAATCATATTTCCCGGTCAACTATAATTCAATTACTTTTCAATCATGTTTCCCGGTCAACTATAATTCAATTGCTTTTCAATATCATGTCATTTCTGGTCAACTATAAATAGATGATTTTTCAACATTGTTGTTACTACAACAGTCAACTACAAATCAATGCTTAATCAAGTATAATCGGGGCAACTATAAATCAATATTATTCCAATGTCACGCTCATACATGGTCGTTTTTCATCAGTATTGCAATATTGATTCAACATTTATTTAGGGTTGGGATTTCAATCTCAACCATTCTGATTATTCAGATGGAAAATTTTGAAATCATGAATTGTTTGGGGTGTGGCTAATACAAAAATAATGTAACTTGTGTACTTAAAACATGGCTTGTGTGCTGATAGGCTTGTGTGCGGTATTACCTTTCTGGCTGTTACCCTGTGTGGCTTAGGCCATCACATTGACACATGAAAGGATATAATCAAATATTTACAAAAATGTGAGGCGTGTACTCACTTTTGTGAGATTATGTACTCTTTATTTTTCTTTTAAATTTAAGTTCTTTAAAGTATACAGCAACTTTTAGCCATAAATAAAAAAAGAAGACATTTCAGTGGTGGTTAATTTGTGATTTATTCATATATTGATAATAATTTCATGCCACAAACAGTAAGTTGTTTTTTATTTTGATAAAGGCTTTCAACTGTTAACAGAATGAGTTTAATTAATAAACAATTTAACCACAAATTTTTGACACATGGTTCAGAAATTGGGATTTTGTTCATGTTGAAATATTTTACCTTCAATAAAACAACTACTTTTTATGTCAAAGAACTGAAATTCCAATAAAACATTAAACATGCAATCAAAATGAAATATAATACAGAAGTTATATCAATATAATAACTTTAAATGCAAAATATTTTGACTTTACTTGCAGCCATTACATTTTATAAATGTTCTATAATGTTGTCAGAACAATCTGAGCCTGTCAGTGGATGTACATTTAACAGCTGCCAGCTTCAGGAAAATAGTGTCCAGGCTGAAAACTACCCATGTTTCCCTTTTAACAAAACACATGTAAATAAAAGAAAACCTATTATACTGATACAACATTGCTCAGGTCAAGTTAAGAAAAGATTACATTTTTCCCATTACATTTTTTACAACATGATTGCACATTTTAATTCAACAAATTTGCAAATTTTTATTGAAATGACTAATTAAGTAAGTTACGCAAAGGAGCACATGATCTATGATGACAACTGATGTATTTGCATAGAGAGGTTGGCTCCTGTACAAATCTTTATTTAGTCGTGGTTGACTTCTCTACCTTTTGTTGTTACTTCAGTAGAGTTTGCACTGCAGTGCTGCTTCACATGCGTTTGTGGATATGCAGGACCCTGTTACAGGTGGGGCACGAATGCTCCACATCTTTGCAAGCATTCACACAGAAGGGGATCAAACAGCAAGGCCAGATCCTGGTGTGGAGTATCACAATAAAGTAAAAAAAATATTTCATAATGTGCACATAAATGCGTACACTGTAAATCATTCTCAAAAGATTTTTTCATTTTAAGTTGAATTAGTTTGAAATGAATAAAACATACTTTAAGTTAATGAGAAAGAAATAGTTGATTCCACTAACACTCCTCACAAATTCCTGTGTGATGCTTTACAGTGTACAGAGTTGATTTGGGTGTGTGTGTGTGTGTGTGTGTGTGTGTGTGTGTGTGTGTGTGTGTGTGTTGGGATCTTTACTCACATTAAGACTCCTAATACACCACAGATCAGCCAGGTGAGCGTACCATTTTTATGCTCTACTTTAGTGACAACATTGGTTTGGCAGTAAGGACACTGCATCTGTCCAGGAACATCAGATGGTGGCTGCTGCTGCACCACCACCACCTGGTTCGCTATGAGGAAGACATACAACACCCTGTAACATCCACTGACAACACAACAGACCTGCAGTCTTTTACTATGATCTGCAAATTCAAAGTTATTTTAACTGGTGAGAATCGGAAATAGAGAGACAATCTCCAAGTTGTAACAGGATGTACTGGTAAACAGGTAATTGATACTGGAAGTGGATATAAGAAAGAGACATTTTGCATGAAAAAAAAAGATTTAAGGAACAGAATGATAAACAAACTGCTAAAAGTCTCCTGTCACATGGATTAAAATGACAGGAATAATAATTTTAAAAAAAGATACAAGTAGGTAAAATGACACAGATGAAGGTCCCTGATCTCTTACCGGGTTGGATGCCAGGCTGAACTTGGTAGACTCCCATGTTGTAGTCTGCAGGGGGACCAGGGTAAGGCGATGCCATTGCCGTGTTATCTGTTAAAGAACCAGAAAAAAGCTTGGAAGTCAGAGACAAATGTTGTGAAGAAGGAACTGCAATAAGGCATTGTAATTCAAATCTGACGTTTGATTTCTCTGAATGAAGCAAAGTGAATACATATTGAACAGAGCTGTGTCGTTAAAATGTGGGGTGGACTGGAGCACAGGTTGAAACCTGGAACTCTCACTCTCAATTTTTGCACCGTCTCTTCTGTCTAAAGTTTAAAAACTGCTAATCAATTTATAGAGCATTTTCTAGAACGAAATGGCCAGTTGTTAGAACACTATATCCATGACATTTATATGCATGTAAGCTGGTTTGGTGGCAATGTAAGGATCCCTGCTCTCACATTACCAAAAGTCCAATTCTGTTGGTCAACTTTATGTAATGGTACTTTTTAATGTCCAAACGTCACAATAGTATTTGCAATTTATTTGCAGGTAAGAGACCACACAGCTGTCAGTTTCTGAGGCTAATTCAAATCTATGGGGGCTGAGAGATGTCCATGCCCTGCACCTTAAGAAAAACACATGCAAATACACAAATCACAGGTATATGAATGAACAACCCCTTCTCACTCCCGACTCATGACATATAGACATATAGTAATTAAATAATATTTAACAGAAATGGCTGAGTAAGGAGGTGGTTGGGGTGGATGGAGGGCCAGAACCCGCACTTGGTTGTTGCTAAACGTTACTAACTTGACCGCGGAGCCTTAAACGTCTAAAAATTACGCAAAACGGTTACCCAGGGCGTTAAAAAGTGACGCCAAAGGGCCTTGACCAAGTGTCAATATGAGTCGGGAGTGAGAATGTGTTGGAATGAAACATTACACACTGTACACTACATAAGGAAATGCATTGCAAAGATAGAAGACCAAAGCAAACAGAGAAATACGGATAAAAACAATATACCTTTTTACAGAAGCTATTTTGACATGCCACAGTAGGAAAAGCTCAGGTGTAAACAAACATAAGTGAGCCAGCATGCACAATACCAGCACACTGGAAGATCACCAAATGGAAGGCATTTGTTTTGAATGTTTAATCAATTACACCTGTGCTTTTTCAGCTAAATGTCTATTGTTCATTCTGGCTCTTTGTCCGCCACAACTTACAGGGACAGTTAAAAAGAACAGACACATTGTTAATATCACCTGTGCTTTTCTATGACAATTCAAAATGCCTTTGTGAATCTGATATAATCTACAATAATGTCTGTCTAATGTTTGACCAAAAAAATGTCATCCCAGGATCCACATTTTGTTGGGAGCTTCCAAACGCATCTTAACCTTCCTCACTGAGCAATTTGATGTTGCAAAGATGTTTAAAGCTAGGCTAGGCTAATTATCTCACTGTTTGGTGTATTTGTTGAAATGTTCTTTACGTCCTGTCATTTCATTTGGTGTGAAGGAAATGACTAGCTGTCCCACCTGCCTGTCTACCTGCATACACTGTGCCCATGCACTCATTGCTCATGAAAATTTTGAGGGAGTGGCTTTGGAGAGAGGCCTGAAGGGAGGGGATGGGATTTTTTTTTTCTTGCATACAAGCCGCACCACGGGGTCTGTGAAGCCCATGTGGAAGTCCCTTTAACCTGCATTCTTCCTCTTGCAACAGCCAGCATGGGGTGACTCCACAGGTTGCAAAAAGAAGTCTGGAGTCAATGACAAAATGACCCTACTTCTCCCTGGATTTATTACCTCAGTAAGCACTTTCCTAATGAGTTTATAGTTTCACTAGTTTCAAGCCTTCTTCAATACAGCATGATGTTCATTTAGTAAATTATGGTCCATTTAGCGGACAATACACAGTAAAGCATGTTTTAGGGTGCACCTACCTTGTAATTGACAACCTTGTACCACGGCCACTTAGCACCCCCTTAACAGGGTCCCTGCCACCAGGAGTGGGTAGTAATTCACTAAATGAGTGAAAATGCTTTTTTAAGGAGCGTTAACTTTTCATGTTTCTCTTTAAAATAGTAGTTTTTCTCTTTATTGGAGAGTTTTTGGGGGTCTGTAATCTACTTTTAAATGGTAAATTTACCATTTATACTTTCAAAACTAATCTGTTACTGTGCTTTTTGCTACATTAACCGAAATGAGTTGTCGTCAAACTGTGTTATGCAGGAGAGCTCTTTAACCAGTGCCAGATACCAGTCTTATGCCAAATATTAATGAGCTGGACAAATGCAAACATTTAGAAAATCAGGCAAATTTTTTAATTTAGTATTGTTCTCTCTTTCTAATTGGCATTGGTAGCTGTTTGTTTTATAGCGATGCCTGATGGTGAAGTCATGATGTTTTCTGGTGAAACTCATCTTGGCTTCACTCAGTAGGCCACCAGCTGTTATTTATTCAGGAACATTGTTTGAGAGGCATATTGAGAGAGTAAATATGGGTGAATAAAACAGCCTTGTTTACGCATGACGCACAGCTCCCTCATATATATATAGGCACACCTATTCCATTCAACATTGTTCATAGATGCTTTAGGAATAATTATATTGTACTGGGTGCCTGTGCAGCGCCCTTCATATCAAAGCAAGTGGTTTGGTTGGCTACATTTCCATCTAAAGATAACAGACACAGGCTGTAATAGTAGGGTTGCAGTCTTGTTGATGGCTTCATGTACATTTAAAGAAAAAAAGTGAAATAATTGTATTGAACACAAATAGGTAAATTGGAGATCATAAACAGTAGAGTGTATCCTAGAAATAAACATTTTGCTCAGTTGCTATTTCTAACCTGATGCAATAAACACTTTAGTAAAACACCAAGTAACTTGCAGGCTACTTTTATATATTGACCAAGTAGGCTTACTTACATTTTACTTGTCAAATATGTTTTATTTTTCTCGAGTATTCTTTTACAGTAGTAGTTTTACTTGAGTGAAGATTTTCAGTACTCACAGTATTCAGAGGAGAGTTTTGCTCAGATCTTTTCTGTGGAGGAGTTTGATGAGTTTGCATGCAGATGAAAGCTCTCAAAAGAGAGTAAGTGGATCTGGAGGGTTTTTTTCTGTTTTTTAAACTATTTTTAAGGTCAAGAAAAAACTTTCTGGCTGATTGTTAAAATAAAACTAAACTAAACATTTTTAATCATCAGTCAACATAGTCAACATTTTTAATTTTCTTTTATGACTATCTGAACCATTCCTTTTCTGAACCTAAAGAACAGACTAACTCAGCTGATTAAAACCTTCACACAGCTTCTTGTTTTAAAAAAAGAGTACAGAATCAATTATGTCAACAAAATCAGACAAAAAAATAAACTTTCAGGTTCTGCTGGCATGTAGTATTTCTTCTTACTCTGAGCCAATGTATGTTTAAGTTTCTCTCAACTGAGGAGAGATGTAATGCCGCTTACCTTGATGAAGAGGTCAGGAGGGTGTGTGAGAGTCGTGCTTCTGCCTCTGCTGTTTGAGAGAAACTGAGAAAGAGATCAGGCAAATGTTACTGTAATGTGTCTGACAGAAGGTGGTGCATTTGCATCCCAGCTGTTTGTTAAATAAATCACCATTACTTGTTTCTGTAGTGTCTTTCCACATTAATTATTCCAACAAAACTCTTTAAATAGACAGCATTACATTTTGTTGCATTTTTACTAAATTTTCTATTATGGACACTTACTGCATGTACTGATTGATTGAAACCTTTATTTATATAATAGAAACTCACTGAGTTCAAGCTTGCTCTGTTAACAGCAATGCAAAAATACTTAGACAAACACACAACAAACACCAAGAGGTCAAATTAAAACATAAACAGCCACAACACAACAACTAAATATCAATTAAAACAATTCATGTTCAATGTATGTTAATGTTTCAAAGTAAAACATAAAAAAGCTAACAGCTGTTTTCTCTAAAGCATTTTAAAACTGTCCTGCCCGGCAGAAGCTGTATACCATATTGTGCCAGACAGATTTTACTTTAACAAGAGAGTATTAATATACTCCTTTGTCTGATTCATTATTGATTTAAATGTATTTGTCACCAGGCCGGACAGGAGACAGACATGGGGATGGGGGATAGAAAAAACACACAAACAGACAGCACGGGAGAAAGGACAACACCTGCAAGAGAACGTGGACAACAGGAAATAGCAGAAGGAAACACCATTTGCAGAAAACAACAAAACCTGCAAGAGAACGGGGAGGGGTGCTTGTGGAGGGGCATAGAAAAGCAAACAAAAAACAACAAACACACAAACGAAGATAAAACCAGCCGTACAGCAGTAAGAAATAGCTAACATATGAAGACAACTGACAAAGAAATGAAAAAGAGAAGCAACATAAATAAACAACACAGTGCAGCCGTGAGAGCTGGAATTATAACAATTAATTTAAATGAGTAACTGGAAAAAAACATCAAGAATAATTCTACCAGGGAGAACCTTTGTTTGTGTGTGTGTGTCTATGAGACTGTCTGCATGGATATGTGTGTGCATAAGCCTGTAAAGTGTAGTGAGAGTGGAACACCACAACCGTGCCTCACCGACTCCAGCGACAGGCAGACAAGAACCCCAGTAGCCATAGGGGTGGGAGAGAAAAATAAAAGAAGTTGACTCCCAGACGGACCCCGACGCGAACGCGGAAGACCCCAACAAACGGCAAAGAAATTCTTAATGCTGGGTATTTCTAAAAGAAAACAAGACTGAGCTTGTGTGGGATATCTTGAATATGTTGTTCAATCAAATGCAAAAAGGGACAATTTGTACATTTTCATTTGTAGGTGAGCAATGACCTAACATTTACCAAAAACATTCTTTGTTTTGACATTCCAGTGATAGGCAAAACCTGAGGTTCAACTTTTGACATTTGGAGATAGGCGTTGTTCTGTACTTTTTCTACTGTCAACAAATCCCATGAAAAGAACAAAACCAACAATACATTAGTCAGTCTATTACCCAGCCTGTCCGTGGCATGCACGCAATGCCAAGCCCTATTGTTCTTCTTAAAAATACATTTTGGCCAACAATAG